ACGCTGGACATGCTTACAGGCGATAAGTGGTTTAGTACGCTGGACCTGAAAAGTGGCTACTGGCAGGTTGAAATTGACCCTAAGGACAAGGAGAAAACTGCGTTGTCCACAGGAAAGGGTCTGTGGCAATTCAAAGTCATGCCGTTTGGGTTGTGCAATGCTCCAGCAACGTTTGAAAGGTTGATGGAGCTTGTACTTACCGGGCTAATTGGCGATGCCTGTCTGGTCTACTTGGATGACATCATCATCGTAGGCCGTACATTTGAGGAACACCTTCAAAACCTGGAATGCGTGCTCATGAAGATCCAGAGTGCCAACCTCAAGTTGAGTCCGAAGAAATGCTTACTATTCAAACGGCAAGTTAGCTTTTTGGGGTATGTAGTATCGGAAGAAGGTATCCGCACGGATCCAGAGAAAATTGCCGCTGTCAAGGATTGGCCAGTTCCAAAAGACAAGACACAGGTTAGAGCATTTTTGGGTTTGTGCTCCTATTATCGGCGATTTGTGAAGAGCTTTGCAGATATAGCCAAACATCTGCACAAGCTAACCGAGGAGATGCGACATTTCGGCTGGGATGAAAGTTGCGATATCGCATTCCTGGAGCTCAAAGACCGTCTGTGCAAAACACCTACTTTGGGGTACCCTGATGCGGGCAAGGAATTTATAGTTGACACAGACGCAAGTGATATAGGATTTGGCGGTGTGTTGTCTCAACGGAATGGTCATCAAGAGGTTGTGATAGCGTACTTCAGCAAGTCGTTGTCAAAGCCGGAAAGGAACTATTGTGTCACAAGACGGGAATTGCTTGCTGTGGTAAAGTCCTTGCAGCATTTTAGCAAATATCTTCTGGGGCGGAAATTTCACTTACGAACTGACCATGCTGCACTGAAATGGCTATTGCAGTTCAAAAATCCGGAAGGACAAGCGAGATGGATTGAACTATTGCAGGAATACGACTTTGTGATCGAACATCGCTGCGGGAAATCTCATGGCAATGCAGATGCATTGTCAAGAAGACCTTGCCCTGAAGATTGCAAGCATTGTACTAGGCAAGAGGGTAAGGAACTGGTATCTTTTTTTTTTGTTTTATTAAGGACAACAAAAACTTGTATAATAAAAGTTACAATTCAAATTATATATAAACAGATCAGCTAATTACACAACCAACACCGATCAACACCAACATCTGTGAGGATGCTGAGGACAGACCACCTCAGCAATGAGTGGAAGGACAGTCTACAACATGCACAGCAGGAAAATTCGGACATCAAGCCGATTCTGGAATGGATGAAGGCCAGTGCTCCTAAGCCCAAGTGGAGCGACGTCTCAACGATAAGTTCGACCATGAAAAGCTATTGGGCCCAATGGGACAGTTTGCTGATTCAGAATGGAGTCCTGTGCCGTAAATGGGAAAATGATCGGGGAGACAGTTGTCATTTGCAAATGGTTGTCCCAAAGTCAGATGTAAACGGTTTTACTGGGTCCACAGTCGTGATGATGTCGAGGACTGGTGCCGCAAATGTACAAGTTGTGCGGCTATAAAGGGACCTCAAACTAGTAGTAGAGGCGCATTGAAATTGTACAATGTTGGTGCACCATGAGAGAGGATAGCCATTGACGTTGCGGGGCCGTTTCCGGAAAGTGAAAGTGGTAACTAGTATTTCATGGTTGTAATGGATTACTTCACCAAGTGGCCAGAAGTCTTCGCCATTCCAAATCAAGAAGCTTCAACAGTTGCAGATAAACTAGTTCATGAAGTCTTTTGTTATTTTGGAGTACCTTTAGAGATTCACAGCGAAGGAAGGAATTTTGAGTCTCAAATATTCCAGGAAACTTGCAGAGTTATGGGTACTCGTAAAACAAGAACAACTTCTTACCACCCTCAGTCAGATGGAATGGTAGAACGATTTAATCAGATATTGGAGAGGTACCTAGCAAAGGTTGTGGAAAAACGGCAACGAGACTGGGACAGGCACATACAACCGTTTTTGTTGTCATATCGAAGCGCTGTTCACGAAAGTACATCAGTGACACCAGCTTTCGCAAACTTTCGGAGAGAATTACGGCTGCCTGCAGACCTGATCACCGGAATACCACCTGATGCCGCACGCAGTAGAACCGATTATGCAAATGACTTGCGGTACAAAATTAATGACATTTATGAGCACGTCAGATAGTCGGGCCAGCAAACGTCTGAGATGAAAACACGGTATGACCAGAAAATGAACAACAAAGGGTTTGACGAAGGTTTACTAGTGTGGTTATACAATCCAGTTCGCAGCAAAGGGAAAGCTTCTAAGCTTCAAGCTAAATGGGATGGCCCGTACCGGATTGTGATAAGGATCAATGACGTAACCTACCGGATACAGAAAAGTGCCAGAGGTACTTCTAAGATCGTCCATGTGGATCGACCGGCGCGTTATTATGGGGCCAATAATGCTCGGGACGAGCATGTCTTAGGAGGAGGCAGTGTTGCGCGCCACTATTAATGTCTTGTACATGGCAACACGAGTTACCAGTAGCGCCCTCTAGTATCGAGTAGCAGAACTAGGAGTCAAGATCCCTCTAGAAATTTCGGGACCGATTTGTACTTCTAACATACTAATGTTTCTACAGTAGGTTCTGGAAACTACCTGAGGCCCTATATAAAGCCGGTATAGACCACGACCGAGTCAGTATTGAATTGGCGATACAAGAGAATACTTCGAAGCGAAATAACTGCGAACTAGTGATCAGTAGTACAATTGTGTTTTATTATTAGTGGTTTTAAATTGTAATTAGGGTTCTGTAATTAGTGTCAAATTTGGATATTCATTCGGTCTTTAATTGTCTCCAACCCCAAGCTCGTATCAATATATATCGATGGAGACCACGTTTAAACGCATTAAACCAGTTGTAAACAGTGGCACGAGATGGGGCTTCATCATGAAAGGCTAATCGAAGTCAATCATAACTTTCTTGTTGACTTATGATATCGAGTCATAAAAAATCATTGTACGAAACTTTTCTCATGTTACATTCATGCTGACGTGACACAGACAATTTTCAATTTGCCGCCAAATCGTGAACAAATGACGTAATAATTTTAGAACTGAAAATAAAACTCAAATATACACTACCGCTTTTATTATGAAAACACAATACATTATATTTCATTTCATTTTTATTTTAACAATAATTAAGAAATATAGCGTCGCGAGAAAGAAAACGTACATTTGTACTTTTTAGAATCATGCACGAAAAAATTCTATATAAAATAAAACATTTTTCCAACAAAACTGTCTCATCTATGTTATACCTAGATTGTCTATGCTCTCTGTTGTTTTTTTTATACTATCATTTTATTAATATCTCACCAGTCTCGAGCCACGCTTACTTTGACACTTAAAATTATTTATTTATAATCTAGCAACCTCAATTCTAAATTTAAATTTCGGCTACTAAAGTAACCGTAAAGAAAAGATACTATTGTACAGGCCGTAATCACACGAAATCGCAATATTATGCTGTAAATGCATTTCGATTTTAAACTGTAAGCGCGTTTAGCAAATTAACCTCGGCAGACGTTTTAAAATCGTAATGCCAACACGTCATCTGCAAAGTTCGCCACAAATCTGCGATCACTTGTGATTACGTTAATTCCAAGAATATTCGAAGTTTGTGTTATAATAATACTTTAATGAACACATTATATACAGCGCGTACAGAGCTTGTTTCAGACACCACAAAACAAAATGACATTAGTTCCTTTTAATTTTATGTTGTAAACAAATTATTAACAATCATATTTTAGAATATTTTAAAGTCATATAGACAAGGTTATCTTTGTATGTAATAAAGATAACGTTATGTTTATTGAAATTAACAACATAATTATCTCTTTATTATACAAGACAATTCATCCTGACAAACAAGTTACAAAAATCTGCGTAACAGTTAATATGCATTTCTTCCTACATTTCCCCGCTTCAGAGCCAATTCACTATTGCAATTTTGAACTGAAACAAGCCCCAGTGTTCCCAAACTTCGAATATCAGCACTTTATATTATCGACAGTTACAATAATATAAAGAATAAGTCCTACGGATAGAGGACAGTCAGATATACTCAAACCGGATAGTGTTAAGACCACGATACTCAATCTTCTTGCTTTCCCCACCGTGGCGCAAGGAGATAACTGTGGCTTGAACCATATATATACTACTATCGAAGTATTACTACAGCCATAAATAAGTCTAGAAATTATCTATTTGTGCAAATAGGTAGCGATATGTTTATTTACACGTCACTCCTTATTTAAACAATCTTTTACATTCCCATTATCGATAGATTTTATAAAAAAATGCTTTTAGAAAAATACTTACATAAGTCAAGCATGCAATCCCAAAAAGCTTAGGCAGAATTGCGAAATTTAAAAAAAAATTACACATAATATATTGGTAATTAGTAAAACATGGCTTAATAAAAAATTTCAATGTTGAACACAATCAATTAATACACAATGTAATTTTATCATGGAACTATTTGAATATTTCGTAATAAATAAGGATTGCAAATTAATTTTATGGCATTCTGCCTATTCTCTTTGCAACTGCCCACATGAAACAATGTCTGTCTATGCATATTCATTTCCCGTTCCACACACTAATATAATGTTTCTTGTAACACCTTCTAGCCGAGGTACCAACAGACTATCCGGTTAAATACAAAACTATCCCGTTAAAGTTCTCTAACATCACGCCGAGGTGGTCAGTGCGTTATCGCTCGGTATGAGGGTGTCCATTTTGTTTTCCGCGGTTTGCTCTTCCGTACCATTGACTTCTGTGTCGTCCTCCCTCTCCATATCTTCTTTCTGCTCCTGTTTATCATCACTGTCCATAGGCTTGGATTCACTGTCTGTGGTTTCTTGACTGGATGTGTCCATTGTATCCGGTTTGGTTTCTTCCTGCTCGGGCTCTGTTTTATCATTCTGTTCTTCTGTTTCTTCATTCTGTTTTTCTGATTTGGGTTCCTCAACTTTTTTGTCCTCTTGCTTGTCTGCAATTATAGAATTATCATATTATAACTCCAGACCATTTAATAGTCAAGTTTCAGCATTACAGAGTCCAAATTTTAACATTAAAAGTCTATAGGCCTCTCTCATACATAGGGAAAGATTTTGCAAGAATTGTGGTTGCCAACCTGCCTGCCAAGCGTCATGCATGCAGGTTTTTTATTATTTTGAATTGTTAGCAACAGATTACCCTGTTTTAATTTCCCTCTATCACCTCTTACGATACCCAAGGGACGATATAGGCTAGTGAATATTTTTACATTATTCTGTAATGAAGCAAATAATGCAAATAAAATAATCACATTCATAACTTAGTTAAATGGAGGGTAAATGGCAATCGACGGGTAACACTGCCACACTTTTTAATCATCGTCATCGTCATGGACAAAGGCATTGCCAGATTTTAAAAATTCTTGTCACTCCCATGAACTTGACACTGACAGAATTCTGTCAAGAGAAGTCATAATTTAAAAGAAGAAGATTTAAAAAATTTGTGCCAATTGTAGTAAAATAACATTTTAAATAACAATAACATTTTTGGGTTTATTATCAATATTATGTTATATCTTTATTTATGGTATTCATTACAATATGTGTTCCTTACAGATCGGACAGTTTTCTTTATATATGGTAGTTACACTCACCAGTTTCGTCAACTTCCATGGGAGTCTCTTTTTGCTCGTCTCCATTTACCTTCTGCGAAAAAGAATACACAGTAGTGAATTTCATGCAAAATAATTTTAAATAGCATAACCACCCTAAATAAATATATGAGGACAAGACGGCACAAACAAACAACTAGAAACGGGGCTAACCTTCACCCTAGTATACGAGTCGGCACGAGTTTTGAGCGCTAGACAATTTTTTTTTAATAATTACACTATTCATATAGAACTCGTGACACACAACTACTGACTACTGAACCAACAATTACTAACCGAGCAGCAGTATTAGTGTACCTTTCTTCACCTCACCACATTACAAAACTACTCTATGCTAATGAATTTAGTGTAAATAATCTAATAAATCCATTGTAAACATTATATTCTAGATTCTAAAATATAATGTTTAGTTACAATTCTAGAATCTAGATACCTAAAAAAAGATAAAAAAATATAAAATGCAACTATGTTTACAATAATACTTTTTCAAATAAGAACTTAGATTTGAGAAACATCTCGATTTGTATATGCCAACATAGGAATGGCTAAATGATTGATTATATCATTATCATTATTATAATTGTTTAGCCTCTCCGTCAATTAAACTAAATTGAACAACATTATGTTTAATCATAAACATTTTTAGTTCAGTTTTAAATGATTGAAATGATATATTTTAACTTTGACTGTGCAAGTGGCAGTCAACGCTTGAAAGTCGTGCCGCTCACTATACATACAATTTGAATACTTCACATACTAGAATATGTTAAAAATACTTGTTCCGACATTAATATATCAACTTATCTACTGTTACTTCAAGAACTGCAAAGATATAAAGGACAATGTCCAAAATCGCCCTGTGTAATAAAATCATCGGACATACACGATAATTAATTTTCTATTTTATTATGTTAGTTGCAAATACTTTTATAACACGGACTAGCTGCATGCAAAAATAAACATTAAAAAGTATTTTACTCGACTAATAACATTAATCGCCGCCATCTTCGCCAAACATCATGTGGTGTTAAAAAATGATTAGGGATGCCCAATCGATTATAATCGACTTTTGAATTGAATGAAATACATTTTGAATTTATTTCGAATAAAGTTTCAAAAAGAAGCTACAATAAAAATATAAAATTACCATTTCTTTATATTCTTTTATATTATTCCCTAAAAGTATAATTTAAAAAACCTACTATACCTAATGAATGAGGTCATACTCGATTTTGTATAGGTTAGTTAGAATAATGCTGAAGAAAAATATTCGTAAAGATAATTATTCAGGATTTTCTAACGATCGTTTAGAAAGGATTGTATTTTACGTCTTACTAAACGATAACTTACAAGTTTTTCAACAATTAATATTTAAAAAAAAAAAACAGTTATCGTTACTGCATTAATTATAAATGTGTTCTTTAAAAAGAGCAATATTGTAGACTAGATACAGACGTTATTATTGATATTGTTATAAGTATGGAAGAAGTAGAGACGTACGTGTTATTATAAGTAAAGTAGTATATTGTCATACTTGTTATGGTATTAATATTATCGTATGACAAAAGATGATTTGTGATGTGATGTGTGTTTGTAACGTATGGTTATAATAAATCTTAGGAAATATTCATAAATCGTATTGTATTTGGCGCTCCTATTTTTGATGTCACTAAATTGTCACTTGTCAGTCTCTCATGAAAAAAATACGATCTCCAAATCAATTCAAATCAAACATACTAGAATCGAATCTCGATTAAATCAAGCATTAACAGATCTATTTTTGATCAATCGCGACATTTTCAAACATGCCTAATATGGACAGAGAACATAATTAATGACGATAATTTACCGTAAATACAAATAATTGTATAGAAACATCATTAAATAAATTAACATAACATCACGCTTGTATTTCTCAGAAGGAGTAGGTAGAGGTGTGTAGTACTAAGTAATACGTCCCATGTAATAGAGAAACAAGCCAAACACCGGACACAAATCCAGACTCCGTGCTACTAATGGGAACTTCAAGTTATAAAAAAAAATTGTCATACCCTGGGATTGAACCCAGAACAGAACAGTTTTTCTTTCTATCACAAGGAACAGATGTTCCACCTATGCAAAAGTATTTCTTGAATCGTTTGAAATATTCTTGAATAAGTCTAACTCGAGAGGTTTTTGGATCGATTCATTGAATCGATGGAGTGTTCTAAGTCGATATCAGGACATCGGATAAGGATTCTTCAGATCTATATCGATCTGGAAAATCGATTATTTTATTATAAACAATCGATTAAACGATTTCAAATCGACATGCCTACTTTATACTGTCATCATTCACTCTGTCAAAATTACATTGGTTGGTGTCGTTTGCTTTTTGTAATTGTATCGGTGTTTTGGTGACTTTCGGGACTATATATTGAACATTACGACTTGGCTATTTTAACGGACTCTGATTGCTTTCAAGAACGACTTACCTTGCTGTGATTTTCGGAACTGTGTACCGCTCATACGATAACCTAGCATTCATAAACGGACTTACGCATACGCAATGGAAAGTGTATTTTGTGTAAATTGCGGCTCTGCTGGTGGCTCAATGTTGTTGAAAGATGAACAGAGAAGCAATCGTGCAATATTGCTGTAATTGCATCGTTGTATGTCGAACCATCGGTAGCTGCGCCCATGCTATGACCATCACCATTTAGAAGATGAACAATATACATGAAATTAATCTGTGTTTTATTTCTAATTCAAACATAATAAATTAATGTAGTTTAAACAACTTATACTCCCAAAAGGTGTTAAGTCGGTAAGGCTGGTTTCATAGTCACGTGTTTGAACAGCGCCGTCCAGACGCACACGCTTGTAAATGCACTAGATAGTAGTCGATAATATTCACGCTGTTCAAGCGCGCTCTGTTAAAAATTCGTTAAAACCGTGGTTGATACGCTCGCTGATCGACGGCATGTCTAGCGGTGTGACTGAACCATCCTAAATCCTCTACATTTAGGTACTAGGTATCTTACCGTTCCGTATATGCTAATGACAACATCTAAATGCTAACAGCCATTATATACATACATTTTAATTTTTACATGAATACTCAAACATTATCTCTCATTTCGAAGCCAATGCTAAGAAAGCATGTTTATTAACTAGATTCTATGCATTTATACGTTAGTTACATACACTTAGGCTTTAGAACAAAAGTAGCACACCTAATTATCTAGATAGTTACTAAAAATAGCTAAATATTTTAGGACGTCATTTTTCAGTTTGTAAAAAATCACTCGGAGCTATGAAAAACCGTAATACTCGTAGTTCAATTATAACCTCAAAATCTGATACTTTTTTTGAAATATATCTTTTATGCAGCTAGTCCGCTATAAAAATAAGATCATATAGGAATTTACTAATGATCGACAATAAAACACACAATTTTCCGATGCTCTTGGTTCCAGGGCGAACAATGTATGGGAACAGAGCAATGTCCTTTATTGTATACATCTCACCCAAATGACACATGTCTACTACATAATTTTAAAATACGGTTCTGCAGGGTTAGCTAAGATGACTTTCTGCAATTGTAAACGATATAGAAAATTATAAAAATAAATGAATTCAACACTAAGTCATGTGACTATTATGTGACTTAAGTAACGGTCCATATGTCATTCCCATCCATTTTTATAGTTTACTATAGAGTTAACAATTATAGAAAGTCATCTTGGCTTACCCTGCTGTTATTAACACTTGTAAAAATGTGTCCAGTGCTCAGTTAGTTTAAATTTTTACTAGGGGTTCAATGAGAACAAACTTTGGGACTTTGACTGAGAACTAAAGTTACAGTATCTTTCAAATATAACTGACACTTTTCTGAAGAAAGGAAGCATGGAAAGGCAACTCTGGTTAAGCCTCTCAATAATAATACAAAACCATACATGAACATGCAAATGTCTTTTAAATTCCAATATCTATCTATCCCTTTAACCCGATTTAGGTTTTAGATAAATACTATATTACTAAGATAACATTTTACAAGTGTTAACCATTAATCATTGGAATAATTTCAAAATTCTAAGAACCTAATTCCGCTTTGCTTTTTTATCTTGCTGTTCCTTCGTCGGCTTCCTTGCTGGCGTTACGCGCGGTTTCTTTTTCTAAACGCGATAAGCATAAGGTTCAAATTTGCACCCAAAATCGGCAACACCTAAAGTGCTCAATGCCCTCAATTCACCGTGTAGTGGCGGTTTAAGAATACATCACACTACCACATATCGTCTCGTGGGTGTCATAAGAGCATCTTTCTGTTAACAACTCAAAAAAATAAAAAGTTGTAGTTAGTTTTGGCAACTAAAGCCAAATTCCTCCATGTTCATCAGTGGTCTTTCATTGGATCCTAATATACAGAATGGGAAGGCATTGACTTCTGTTATACAGATTGCATAGGTTCTTTATTTTTTAGTTTTTAGGCTGTGAAGATGTCCGTGGTGACAATAAAATATATATATATATATATATTTTTTTAAACTTGTTATAAGCCAATGCTTGACTACAACCCCACACGATGGTAAGTGGTGATGAACCCCTAGATGATAAATCATTAGCATTATAAAAAAGTATTAGCTATATATAATATTATATAGTTGAAGGTTCTTTTATAGAGATGTCTCTTGTGCAAGTTTCTTAGAAAAAACATTGTATAAATACAGAAAAACAGATATTTATAGGACAAAAAAAATTGAGCGGGATATGAATCCTTGACCAGCAATCAAATGCTTAGTTACAGCGCTAACAAGATTGTAAGTTGGTTAGAAAGTTATAGTGACAGCCTCTATATATATGTCCCACAGCTGGGGTGGTTTGTACGTAACACAGGTGCACTCTCCATTCCCTCACCCTTGTAATCCGATGGGACAGCCATCCTACACAACCAAAGACAAATAAAAAGAGAACACATTGACTTAACATGTTTTCCGAGACATGGAAATAAAACACAGCCAACCTTCTGACCTTAAGCTGCTACTGAGAATTTCTTGAAAGAAAAACTCAGTAACTGATTTGACCTGCTGATATCCGCTTCACACAATCACAAGACAAACGAAGTAGTCGTTATTTCGGTAATGGTACAGCTCAAGTAAATATACTTGAGCTGTACCATTACCGAAATACATAACAAGTATATACTGAGCAATAATAACATTTGATTTGTTCTTGTATCTTACCTGTGGCTTTTCCTCCGTAACCTCACTCGCCTGCGCACTGGACGTTGACGATATCTCCTCATCTTGCTCTTGCTTCTTCTGTCTTTTCGTCGGCCGTCCTTTCGTCTTCTCCTTCTCTTTTTCTTTTTCTGGCTGCTGCTTCTCCTCAGTCTCCTCTTTTTCTTGTTCTACCTCCTCCTTCTCGTCCTCTGGCGCTGGCGATTCTGCTGTAGACTCGTCCTACAATGGGAATTGTATATTAGGATTTATATTACTCTGATATTTGTGAATTAACGGTTGAAACTGCTATGTTAATCAATTGATCCATTTATAGTTAAAATTGATTGGTGATCGGTTGTTATATTATTAAAATTATTTTGAATTTATTTTTAATAAAAGCCATGAAGATAATTTGCTTTTCATTACATTAGAGCCTATACCAAAGATTGCCTCATAGGGGGGATTTTGCCATAGTTGACAGGCTTGGTGAGTGGTTTGTCAACATCAGTTTTTTATTATTTTGAGGTGTTATCAGGAAGATGCTGCTATTTTGCTATACAATAAGGTGACAAACGAGCACACAGTCCACCTGATGGTAAGTAGTTGCTGTGGCCCATAGACATCTGCATCTATCCTCGATTACGAATCAAAATGCAGATGCAGATGTCACCCGTGAGGACTAAGATGGAATGCCTCTTTTCCAGTAAAACGAATGAGCGTTTCGAATCGACAGGGTCTTTAATAATCTCAAAATAGCACATGTTGTTTTGAGGCAGAGCCAGATTTAACTTTTTCATGGCCTAGGTGTTTATTGCAAATGGTGCCCTAGTTTTTCATGTAATATTTGAAGTAAAATAGTTACAAATTTTAAGATTTACTTTAGTGGCTGAAATACTGTTTGACTTTTTGATGGCGATTTTTTTTATAGAAGGGTGACAAACGAACACAGCACACGTGGTGGTAAGTGGGTGCTGAGGCCCATAGACATCTACATCTATCGTCAATAAAGAATCGAAATGCAGATGCGTTGTCACCCGTGAGGACTAAGATGAATGCCTCGTTTCCAGTAAAAAGGGTATCCGGTTCTCTACACTCACCATACGAAACACAGCCGTTAAGCCGCTATTTTACGCTGGTATTTTGTGAGAGTGAGTGTCCTTCCCCGGTCGAGCCGACCCTGTAAAGTGCTGCCAATCTCTAATTTGAATTTTCCTCTGTCGCCTCTAATGACAACCACGAGATGATATATACACATATACTATATATTTTGCTTTCATTAACGATCAACAAAATTCTAAAATATTATTTTAAAATAAAGTTTACTTGTTTTGTCTACTGATATTTTCGCGATGAACTCTGAATTTTTTACTATTATTATTATCGGCAAATTAAACCCGATTGCACCCATCCAATAAAAAAACATCTGAAAAATAAATTATAACTTTAGCGATGTCTTTCGCGGTGTGTCAGTGGTGGGCGTCAGTACTTCAGTGCGCCAGTGTGTCAGGGCAGTAAGTGTAGCGTCAGTAGTTCAGCAGTGTCAGTGCAGTAAGTGTAGCGTCAGTAGTTCAGTGCAGTAAGTGTAGCGTCAGTACTACAGCGCGCCACTGTGTCAGTGCAGTAAGTGTATCGTCAGTAGTTCAGTTCAGCAGTGTGTCAGTGCAGTAAGCGCAGCGTCAATAGTTCAGAGCGGCAGCGTGTCAGTGCAGTAAGTGTAGCGTCAGTACTTCAGGTTAGCATTGTGTCAGTGCATTAAGTGTAGCGTCATTACTTCAGTGTGTCAGTGCATTAAGTGCTGCGTCAGTACAGTAAGTGTAGCATCAGTAGTTCAGTGCGCCAGTGTTCGTGCAGTAACTGTAGCGCCAGTAGTTCAGTAGACCAGTGTATCGGTGCAGTAAGGGTAGCGTCAGTACTTCAGCGCGGCAGTGTGTCAGTGCAGCGTCTGTTGTTCAGTTTAGCAGTGTGTCTTTGCAGTATGTGTAACGTCAGTAGTTCAGTGCAGTAAGTGTGGCGTCAGTAGTACAGTGTAGCAGTGTGTCAGTGCAGTAAGTGTAGGGTCAGTACTTCAGTGCAGTAGACATAAGCGCCGAAGGCAAATTCTACGGCGGCGGCGTGGCCTTAAAATTTCCTAAGCGGCGGCGCCGTCGCGGCGTGGCCGGCCGTGGGCTATACATATTTTTTTTTATCAGGGAAAGATTTCTTAAAAACAAAAAAGCTTTATATTTTTATAATAAAGCCTTGGGGAACCCCAGCCTAGAGATGGGAACAGTATTCCATGTGAGGTTAAACCTGCGCCTTGTAAGTTGCAGGCGATGTGCCGGCATGAAATACTGTCCCGCTCTGCTGAGCGCCAAGCCTTTTAGAAGGCAATTTCGCCCTAAGTGAACACGAAACTTCACGTCGTTTGATATATAGACGCTGAGGATTCCGATACTGGCTGCGGCAACAAGGCGAGTGCCTTGAAACTGAGGAGATGCTCCGATATGCAAGAAAGCTGGTGATCCAATTGCAAAATTTCGCGGGAACCCTATAGGAATGAAGCTTCGAAAGAAGCGCTTTCATAGAAACCCCATCGAAAGTTTTCGCAATGTCCAAACTTTGTCCTTTGTCCAAACAAAGCGAGGTAGACCTGAAGATCACCAGCTAATCGACCCCGACGAAAACAGTATTGGCGGTCACTAATTAGCTGGTGATCCTCAAGATACCTCACGAGCTGGCGGTTCATCACCGATTCCATTATTTTGGAGAACAAGGAGGTGATAGCGATAGCCCTGTTGTTAGACGAATTTAAGCGGTCGCCTTTTTTAGGGATCGGATGGACGAAAGCCGCCTTCGTCCAATTCGGGACTAGGCCCAGGGAGTAGGAGCACTGGAAAAGACGCGTTCGAAACGGTGCCTCCTCTAGAGTACACGTCCTCACGTCCTCAGCACAATTCAGGGGATACCGTCAGGCCCACTCGACTTGTGGATGTCCAGGGAACTGCACATCCGGCATAGAGCACTCACACCACGGGATGGTCGGTGGTGTGCTCCCCCGTCATCGAGTCTGGTTGGACGAAAAGAACGAGCCTAGCAGATAGGCTTTCTCCTTTGCGGCTTGGGCCAGTGAGTCGTCCTCCCTGTGTGGAGATGGCAGACACAAGTTCCCTTGGAGAATCTAGGTGAGAGACCAAAATGCACGGGTTTCCGAAGGAAGGCGAACTAGTTTCAGTCAGTGCAGTGTAGTGCAGTGAGTGCAGTCGCAGTGCTCTGACTTTGCCTTGCCAATGACTCTATTGAAGGACTTGTAGGCGGAATTATATTTATATTTAAGAGCTCTGGTGTTTACATTCTGATACGTTGATGCTTCAGCCCAGGCCTTATAGCGTGATGCTATTTTACAGGTACTACAAAACCAGGCTGAGATCTGTCTCCCATGGGCACCACAGAGGAAGAAATAAAAAGTTACATAGCCGGAAGTACCATATTAGCGACAGAATTTGCTACAACGTTAGGATCGTCCGGCGAGAAGCATACCCGCCTCTAAGGGTAGGGTGCAAAGAATGACCGCATTCCATCCCAATCGGCCAATAGTGCCAAACACAGAGTTAGTGTGAGTGGCACCACATTCCGGGTTAGGCAATGGTCCGAGGAGCCAAGAGGGGCGTCGACGGAGACTTGATATCTATCCGGATAAGCTGTCAGCAGAAGGTCCAACAGGAAAGGTGCATGATCCTCCACATCTAGAATTCGGGTAGGCGAAGTAACCAGTTGTGTCAGACCATATGCCAAAATTATGAGCAGATCTCTCCGCATGATCGGTTAAACGTGCCATTAGATGTAGGGGGCGTTACAATCGCCGAGGATCAGGATCTCTGCAGATGGGATCTGCTGTAGCAAGGAATCTGTAGCCATTTGGACGTGGTCAATGAGTCGATCTGTTTCGGCATTACTGCTATGGGATAGTGAGATATATATCATCATTACAGCCCTTCACAAGTCCACTGCTGAACATAGGCCTCCCCCAAAGAATGCCACAAAGCACGGTCCTGAGCCACCTGCATCCATCGACTTCCTGCATATCTTACCAGGTCGTCACTCCATCTAGTGGGGGGACGCCCTACACTTCGCCTGCCGGTACGAGGCTGCCACTCGAGAACCTTTCTTCCCCATCGGTTGTCGGTTCTTCGAGCTATATGGCCGGCACATTGCCACTTCAGCTTACTAATCCGTTGGGCTATGTCGGTCACTCTAGTTCTACTGCGGATATCCTCATTTCTGAGTTTATCACGCAGAGAAACTCCGAGCATAGCCCTCTCCATAGCTCGCTGAGCGACCTTGAGCTTCCTCATCCGGCCAGCAGTGAAGGACCACGTCTCAGTTCCGTATGTCATCACTGGCAACACGCACTGGGTGTACAGTCTCGTTTTCAAGTTTTGAGGTATACCTGACGAGAAGATGTGCCGTAATTTCCCGAACGCTGCCCAACCGAGTTGAATCCGTCGATTGACCTCTCGGTCGAAGTTGGACTTACCTAGTCGGACTATTTGTCCCAGGTAAACATACTCGTCAACAACTTCGAACTTAGTGTTCCCAACAACTACCGGCATAGGTGTGACATGGACATTAAACATGATCTTTGTTTTGTCCATGTTCATCTTAAGACCTATCCGTTGGGAAACACTATTGAGGTCATTGAGCATAGTGCTTAGGTCCTCCAGCGATTCTGCCATAAGGACTATATCGTCGGCAAATCGAAGGTGAGTGATGTACTCGCCATTGATGTTGATACCGTATCCTTTCCAGTCCAGAAGCTTGAAAACATCTTCCAATGCAGCGGTAAAGAGTTTCGGGGATATGACGTCACCCTGTCTTACACCTCTCTGCAATTGGATAGGTTTCGTACTCTGGTTCTGTACTCGGATAGCCATCGTAGCCCTACTGTACAAGCACTTCAACACTTCGATATACCGACAGTCAACTTGGCATCGCTGAAGGGACTGCAGCACCGCCCAAATTTCGACGGAATCAAAGGCTTTCTCATAGTCCACATACGCGAGACATAGTGGCAAATTGTACTCCTCGGACTTCTGTACAATTTGCCGAAGGGTATGTATGTGGTCTATGGTGCTAAAGCCCTTTCGGAAACCGGCTTGTTCGGGAGGCTGGAAGTCGTCAAGTCTGCGCGCGAGACGATTCGTAATGACTCTTGAAAACAGCACGTAGACGCGGCTCAGAAGGGAAATCGGTCTGTAGTTCTT